GAGGAGCAGAGAGGAGGAGAGAGGAGGAGAGAGGAGGAGAGAGGAGGAGAGAGGAGCAGAGAGGAGGAGAGAGGAGCAGAGAGAAGCAGAGAGAAGCAGAGAGAAGCAGAGAGAAGCAGAGAGGAGGAGAGAGGAGCAGAGAGGAGCAGAGAGGAGGAGAGAGGAGCAGAGAGGAGGAGAGAGGAGCAGAGAGGAGGAGAGAGGAGGAGAGAGGAGGAGAGAGGAGCAGAGAGGAGGAGAGAGGAGCAGAGAGGAGCAGAGAGGAGGCGAATAATAATATTAATGCATGGGTTTTATAAAGCGCTTTTTCGAACACTCAAAGATGCTTCACATCATTACCATTTCTCTCCAAACACGGTGGTGATAAACTACTGTAGCCACAGCTGCCCTGGGGCACACTGACAGAGGCGAGGCAACCAGTCTGTGCCATCAGCCCCTCCCACCACCACCAACCATTCACACACACACCAGACTCATTCTAATGTGGGGGAAGTGTCTTGCCTAAGGACACAACGACAGCAGTCAGTGGGAGTCGATGGTGAAGGTCGGGCTCCAACCCACGACCTTCTGGCTCAAAGGCCAATGCTCTACAACTGAGCCACTGTCGCCCCCAAAGAGTAGGTGCAGGTCAGGAGGAGGTCAGGAGGTCAGGAGGAGGTTTTGCCTCCTTGAACAGGGTCAGGGTCAGATGAAGGACAGACATTTTGCCTCAGATGAAGGACAGACATTTTGCCTCAGATGAAGGACAGACATTTTGCCTCAGATGAAGGACAGACATTTTGCCTCAGATGTACAGAGCAGTACACTCACCATCCACAGGATGGAGCCAGAGAGCTGTTCAAACTGATGGGAGCCGCTCCAGCGACTCTTCACAGTGGCCAAACCGAAGTCTCCGATCTTCACCGTCAGGTCCTCGTGCAGGAAGATGTCTGAGTGTGGTCAAGGAGGCCTCGGAGACTGCATACCCCACCAACAAGCTGCAGCTAAACCCAGAAGCTGCCCTCGGAGACTGCATACCCCACCAACAAGCTGCAGCTAAACCCAGAAGCTGCCCTCGGAGACTGCATACCCCACCAACAAGCTGCAGCTAAACCCAGAAGCTGCCCTCGGAGACTGCATACCCCACCAACAAGCTGCAGCTAAACCCAGAAGCTGCCCTCGGAGACTGCATACCCCACCAACAAGCTGCAGCTAAACCCAGAAGCTGCCCTCGGAGACTGCATATCCCACCAACAAGCTGCAGCTAAACCCAGAAGCTGCCCTCGGAGACTGCATACCCCACCAACAAGCTGCAGCTAAACCCAGAAGCTGCCCTCGGAGACTGCATACCCCACCAACAAGCTGCAGCTAAACCCAGAAGCTGCCCTCGGAGACTGCATATCCCACCAACAAGCTGCAGCTAAACCCAGAAGCTGCCCTCGGAGACTGCATACCCCACCAACAAGCTGCAGCTAAACCCAGAAGCTGCCCTCGGAGACTGCATATCCCACCAACAAGCTGCAGCTAAACCCAGAAGCTGCCCTCGGAGACTGCATACCCCACCAACAAGCTGCAGCTAAACCCAGAAGCTGCCCTCGGAGACTGCATATCCCACCAACAAGCTGCAGCTAAACCCAGAAGCTGCCCTCGGAGACTGCATACCCCACCAACAAGCTGCAGCTAAACCCAGAAGCTGCCCTCGGAGACTGCATACCCCACCAACAAGCTGCAGCTAAACCCACCTACATCTCCCTGATGTTCCGATGGCGTTAGCTTTGTAAGGGGCAGACGTGTTGCTAAGGCGGTTGCTAAGGAAAGCTGGAGATCTCCTCTGAATGAAGGCCTCTGATTGGTCAGTCCTTATATGGTCATATGTGGATTTACAAAGACATCATCAAATATAAACAGCAGGATAACAGAGAGCGATAAACCACTACACCATGAGCACTTCTCTGTTGAACTTCATGGAGCTAGCTATGCTATGAGCTAAAGCTAATCTCAAAAGAGGATACTGTTGCTCTTCAGGTCTCGGTGGATGATGGATTTGGCGTGAAGATAACTGTAACACAAAACAGTTATTATACACACACACACATAGACAGAGACAGACTCACACACTCACTCAGACACACACACACACTCACTCCATGCCCTGGGCGGTCTGTCGGGCGATGTCGATGAGTTTGATCATCTCGAACTTGGTCTCGATGATGTGCAGGTGGTGGTAGAGACTGGAGCCTTCGCACCACTGTGTGACGATGGCCAGCTGCGGCTGCGTTGTGTAGCCCATGAAGAGCAGGATGTTCACGTGACGGGTCTTCCTGCAGACGCACAACTGTGTTACTGTTACACAACACAACCCCATGACAAGCAGGATGTTCATGTGGCGGGTCTTCACTCCCTGGCCACGCCCCCTCACCTGAGCACACCCCTCCCTGGCCACGCCCCCTCACCTGAGCACGCCCACTTCGTTCTTAAAAGCCTGCAGCTGCTGTGGAGTGGGAGCCGTGACGTTGAGCATTTTAACCGCAACGTCTCCTAAAAACCAAAGAGTGATCAGAGTCAGAGGCCAGAGAAAGAGAGGCCAGAGAGAGAGACCAGAGAAAGAGAGACCAGAGAGAGAGACCAGAGAGAGACCAGAGAGAGAGACCAGAGAAAGAGAGACCAGAGAGAGAGACCAGAGAGAGAGACCAGAGAAAGAGAGACCAGAGAGAGAGACCAGAGAAAGAGAGACCAGAGAGAGAGACCAGAGAGAGAGACCAGAGAAAGAGAGACCAGAGAGAGAGACCAGAGAGAGACCAGAGAAAGAGAGACCAGAGAGAGAGACCAGAGAAAGAGAGACCAGAGAGAGAGACCAGAGAGAGAGACCAGAGAAAGAGAGACCAGAGAGAGAGACCAGAGAGAGAGAGACCAGAGAGAGAGACCAGAGAGAGAGACCAGAGAAAGAGAGACCAGAGAGAGAGAGACCAGAGAGAGACCAGAGAAAGAGAGACCAGAGAATGAGAGACCAGAGAAAGAGAGACCAGAGAGAGAGAGACCAGAGAGAGAGACCAGAGAGAGAGACCAGAGAAAGAGAGACCAGAGAGAGAGACCAGAGAAAGAGAGACCAGAGAGAGAGACCAGAGAAAGAGAGACCAGAGAATGAGAGACCAGAGAGAGAGACCAGAGAGAGAGACCAAAGAGAGACCAGAGAGAGACGAGAGAAAGAGAGACCAGAGAGAGACGAGAGAATGAGAGACCAGAGAGAGAGACCAGAGAAAGAGACCAGAGAAAGAGACCAGAGAGACCGGAGCGAGAGGCCAGAGAGAGAGGCCAGAGAGAGAGGCCAGAGAATGAGAGACCAGAGAATGAGAGACCAGAGAATGAGAGACCAGAGAGAGAGAGACCAGAGAATGAGAGACCAGAGAGAGAGACCAGAGAAAGAGACCAGAGAAAGAGACCAGAGAGAGACCAGAGAATGAGAGACCAGAGAGAGAGACCAGAGAAAGAGAGACCAGAGAGAGAGACCAGAGAGAGAGAGACCAGAGAATGAGAGACCAGAGAGAGAGACCAGAGAAAGAGACCAGAGAGAGACCAGAGAATGAGACCAGAGAGAGAGACCAGAGAAAGAGAGACCAGAGAGAGAGACCAGAGAAAGAGAGACCAGAGAGAGAGAGAGAGAGAGACCAGAGAATGAGAGACCAGAGAAAGAGAGACCAGAAAAGAGAGACCAGAGAGAGAGACCAGAGAGAGAGACCAGAGAAAGAGAGACCAGAGAAGAGAGACCAGAGAGAGAGACCAGAGAGAGAGACCAGAGAGAGACCAGAGAATGAGAGACCAGAGAGAGAGACCAGAGAGAGAGACCAGAGAGAGAGACCAGAGAGAGAGACCAGAGAAAGAGACCAGAGAGAGACCAGAGAGAGAGACCAGAGAGAGAGACCAGAGAGAGACCAGAGAATGAGAGACCAGAGAGAGAGACCAGAGAAAGAGACCAGAGAGAGACCAGAGAGAGAGAGACCAGAGAGAGAGACCAGAGAAGAGAGACCAGAGAGAGAGTCCAGAGAGAGACCAGAGAATGAGAGACCAGAGAGAGAGACCAGAGAGAGAGACCAGAGAGAGAGACCAGAGAGAGAGACCAGAGAGAGACCAGAGAGAGAGACCAGAGAGAGAGAGACCAGAGAGAGAGACCAGAGAGAGAGACCAGAGAGAGAGACCAGAGAGAGACCAGAGAGAGAGACCAGAGAGAGAGACCAGAGAGAGAGACCAGAGAGAGAGACCAGAGAGAGAGACCAGAGAGAGAGACCAGAGAGAGAGACCAGAGAGAGAGACCAGAGAGAGAGACCAGAGAGAGAGACAGAGAGAAGAGAGACCAGAGAGAGAGACCAGAGAAGAGACCAGAGAGAGAGACCAGAGAGAGAGACCAGAGAGAGAGACCAGAGAGAGACCAGAGAGAGAGACCAGAGAGAGAGACCAGAGAGAGAGACCAGAGAGAGAGACCAGAGAGAGAGACCAGAGAGAGACCAGAGAGAGAGCAGAGAGAGAGACCAGAGAGAGACCAGAGAGAGACCGAGAGAAGAGAGACCAGAGAGAGACCAGAGAGAGAGACCAGAGAGAGACCAGAGAGAGAGACCAGAGAGAGAGACCAGAAAGAGAGACCAGAGAGAGACCAGAGAGAGAGAGAGAGAGACCAGAGAGAGACCAGAGAGAGAGACCAGAGAGAGAGAGACCAGAGAGAGAGACCAGAGAGAGAGAGACCAGAGAGAGACCCAGAGAGAGACCAGAGAGAGAGACCAGAGAGAGAGACCAGAGAGAGAGACCAGAGAGAGAGACCAGAGAGAGAGACCAGAGAGAGAGACCAGAGAGAGAGACCAGAGAGAGAGACCAGAGAGAGAGGACCAGAGAGAGAGACCAGAGAGAGAGACCAGAGAGAGAGACCAGAGAGAGAGACCAGAGAGAGAGACCAGAGAGAGAGACCAGAGAGAGACCAGAGAGAGAGACCAGAGAGAGAGACCAGAGAGAGAGACCAGAGAGAGAGACCAGAGAGAGAGACCAGAGAGAGAGACCAGAGAGAGACCAGAGAGAGACCAGAGAGAGAGACCAGAGAGAGAGAGACCAGAGAGAGACCAGAGAGAGAGACCAGAGAGAGACCAGAGAGAGAGACCAGAGAGAGACCAGAGAGAGAGACCAGAGAGAGACCAGAGAGAGAGAGACCAGAGAGAGAGACCAGAGAGAGAGACCAGAGAGAGACCAGAGAGAGACCAGAGAGAGAGACCAGAGAGAGAGACCAGAGAGAGGACCAGAGAGAGAGACCAGAGAGAGACCAGAGAGAGAGAGACCAGAGAGAGAGACCAGAGAGAGAGACCAGAGAGAGAGACCAGAGAGAGAGACCAGAGAGAGAGACCAGAGAGAGACAGACCAGAGAGAGAGACCAGAGAGAGAGACCAGAGAGAGACCAGAGAGAGAGACCAGAGAGAGAGACCAGAGAGAGAGACCAGAGAGAGAGACCAGAGAGAGAGACCAGAGAGAGAGACCAGAGAGAGACCAGAGAGAGAGACCAGAGAGAGAGACCAGAGAGAGACCAGAGAGAGAGACCAGAGAGAGACCAGAGAGAGAGACCAGAGAGAGAGACCAGAGAGAGAGACCAGAGAGAGAGCCAGAGAGAGACCAGAGAGAGAGACCAGAGAGAGACCAGAGAGAGAGACCAGAGAGAGAGACCAGAGAGAGAGACCAGAGAGAGAGACCAGAGAGAGACCAGAGAGAGAGACCAGAGAGAGAGACCAGAGAGAGACCAGAGAGAGAGACCAGAGAGAGACCAGAGAGAGAGACCAGAGAGAGAGACCAGAGAGAGAGACCAGAGAGAGAGACCAGAGAGAGAGACCAGAGAGAGACCAAGAGAGAGAGACCAGAGAAAGAGACCAGAGAGAGAGACCAGAGAGAGAGACCAGAGAGAGACCAGAGAGAGACCAGAGAGAGAAGAGAGACCAGAGAGAGAGGCCAGAGAGAGAGACCAGAGAAAGAGACCAGAGAGAGAGACCAGAGAGAGAGACCAGAGAAGAGACCAGAGAGAGAGAGACCAGAGAGAGACCAGAGAGAGAGACCAGAGAGAGAGACCAGAGAGAGACACCAGAGAGAGAGACCAGAGAAAGAGACCAGAGAGAACCAGAGAGACCAGAGAGAGAGACCAGAGAGAGAGAGACCAGAGAGAGAGACCAGAGAGAGAGACCAGAGAGAGAGACCAGAGAGAGACCAGAGAGAGACCAGAGAGAGAGAGACCAGAGAGAGACCAGAGAGAGACCAGAGAGAGAGACCAGAGAGAGAGAGAGAGACCAGAGAGAGAGACCAGAGAGAAGAGAGACCAGAGAGAGAGACCAGAGAGAGACGAACGGCCCTTCTGACGCGCCATCTTCCTACAGCCCTGATGGAAGCGACACTGTGCATTTTGAATTCCAATGATCAGTGATTGTGTGTCTCTATTCAAAAGGTAAAGCTCATTCTCCCCATGTATACTTGAATCACTCTGTAAGGGGCGCTATTGCTGCAATCATGAGGCTATAGCCTCCCCCCCCCCCTAGTACCACCCATTCATTTCACTGTGTACTAGAGCAGGAGCAAAGCCATTCACCATTCTGTTTATATCGGTGGTCTGGGCACGCGCCGTCGGCTTGAGGACCCATAGTTGCGTTACGCCTTGTCGTTCGCTTTAAAATTATGTATCATTTGTCTCTCACTGGTCTCTCTCTGGTCTTTCTCATATCTCTTGCTGGTCTTTTTCTGGTCTCTTCTGTCTCTCTCTGGTCCTCTCTCCTATTTCTCTTGGTCTCCCTCTGGTCTCTCTCTGGTCTCTCTCTGGTCTCTCTCTGATCTCTCTCTGATCGCTCTCTGGTCTCTCTCTGGTCTCTCTCTGGTCTCATCTCTGATCTCTCTCTGGTCTCTCTCTGGTCTCTCTCTGGTCTCTCTCTGATCTCTCTCTGGTCTCTCTCTGGTCTCTCTCTGGTCTCTCTCTCTCCTGTCTTTCTCCTGTTTCTCTTTGGTCTCTCTCTGGTCTCTCTTTTGGTCTCTCTCTGATCTCTCTCTGATCTCTCTCTGATCTCTCTCTGTCTCTCTCTGGTCTCTCTCTGGTCTCTCTTCCTGGTCTTTCCCTGGTCCCTCTCTGATCTCTCTCTGGTCTCTCTCTGGTCTCTCTCTGGTCTCTTTCTGGTCTCTCTCTCTGGTCTCTCTCCTGGTCTCTTTCTGCTCTCTCTCTGGTCTCTCTCTGCTTTCTCTCTGGTCTCTCTCTCTGGTCTCTTTCTGCTCTCTCTCTGGTCTCTCTCTGGCTCTCTCTGATCTCTGTCTGGTCTCTCTTCCGTCCCTCTGGTCTCTCTCCATGTTCCTCAGTGATAAATGAGTAAGTAATGTTATTTATATGGCGCCTTGCTCCGCCCTGAGTCCCCAAAGTGCTCGTGCAGAGGAGTTATCAGCAGCAACACGTCTTGCAGCCAACGTGAACGAGATCAGAGCAAAGACACAGACGAGATTACAGCGTTCAGAGAGCCGCTGTGGTCC